CATGTATGTAGAGCATAGTCTGGAAGAACATAAAAGCATTTTGTTTCTTTTTAATACCACACAGAGTCGCGGGCGAAAGCTAGTCTTTTTAAAAATTAATAATTGCATTATGCGTCACAAACTGTGATCAATAAAAATGTCACTTTCAATTCTGTAAACGACATATTTATGCACAAGTTGGGGTATCGAAGCAATTGGGTCACACGTTTGTCCGGACTCGAACCTTGACCTCCGCAAGTCCTTCCAATGCAATAAATCTCCCGTTCCGGTATGCTAATGGATTACAAGACGGAATTATTCGTTTTTTTTTTATTTGTTTCTCTGCGAAATGTCTTATTTGTAGACAGTAACCGCGTTTTATTTCATTACTATAATAAAAATTGTATCTTCAGATTAATCTATATAAAACTGGGTATTTTTATCTTTACGATCGGAACATCTATAAAGGCTTAGGTTCGAATACAGTTCTTCGTTTTTCTTGTGACGTAATTACCATAGAGTTATGATAACTTAATGTTTTCCTTGCACCTGTCTGTGTCAAAGTTCACCTCTAAACTCTATAACGTGCTACGCTCAGGTGTTTCGTAGCCGTAGCGGACACGCGTAGCTATTGACCCTCTACGAATTCATTCAAACTCTACTTCTGAAGATCAAATAAACCGCTCAGATTCAATGGATTACAATGTTTGAAATATATTTAACCTGAATACATTTAAGACTGAAAACTGAAAAACAATATCGGTAAACTTTTTAAATCGGCGATCTATTCTATGAAGAAAATATTTATGAAATTCACGCGAGACCTTTAAAGTGAAAATGTCAAATGTTATGGCAATAATTCCCACTGTTGTCCGTCTGTACAAAGTGCATAAAATGTCAGCCTCACAATGCCGAGGACATTTCAAATGTCAAATTAACTACAAATGTCAAGAAATACTAACAAATTGTTTTATTTTCACAGAATAACGAAGGAAATAGAGAATCAAATTTTATATGCATCCGTTAATTTCAAAGAGAACAGGAGAGATGCAAATGATTTGACCATCATCAGCTATAAGTTCTAACTTATGCATTCGTAATTTACCCAAGTTACAGTCAGCCACGCTGGACTTCACATATATCTTTAAATTTCTTTGCAGATATGCACGCATCCATGGCGAATTCAAACATACATGGCGTATAGACTGATCTTGTTAGGTGTAGCGTTTAACTGTGCCATTAACGCCCTAACTCCTGACAATTTTTTTTAACTATTATGTTTATTTTCGAGACAATAGTATAACTGATATTTAAGCGTTTAAACTATATAAATTAATTTAAAAACATACAAACAATATGTAGACGACATTGAGTCAATGCGCGTGGGCGATGTGTTCGAAACCTGTCACCGCGGCATCATATATCCTGCCTGGACAATAACTACATGTGTCACATTACTATTAATAATTGCAAAAATAAAAAACACATTGTAATTAAAGGATTTAATACAACCCTTTGCTATAGCAATGAAATGTCACTAAAAACATCTATTTAAAATATCGATTCAATCATTCGGAATTTATGACCTTGAATAAGCGGATTCCCAGCCAATGAACTATTATAAATCGAGGAATTTATTCATTAATGCGGAAGTTATGTTTAAAAAAACTCGTAAAATTCATCTCTTCTTTAAAGACGACAAAAGCTTTATCATCAATTTTTACTTTTCTTTGAACATTCCTACAAAATTTCTATCATTTCAGTAAACATTCGACATTTCAACCAAAGGCTGAACAAAACTATCATAACCTACTCTGATCTGTAAACTATTCATCGCGATACTTTATAAAAAGCCTTACATAAGTAAATATCTAGCACATAAACAAAAAAAATGTTTATTTACAAAAAAAAACCTATCAAAACTCCATTTTAAATTCACAAATCACTATTTTACTATACCTAAAACAACACTCAAATCAAAACAAAGCACTATAAACACAACTTTTATAAAGTTAACGTTTTCAGCGATACGAAGGCGGTCGTCCGTGTTTCAGCACACGACCGTCCGCGCCGCCCGCCCGCCCGGCACTCCCTACACGTGCACACACTACATTATATGATGGCATCTCACTATACACCATATAAACAACTTAAACTAACTTAATTCAAGTTCTAGTAACTTAAAATTCATATAACTAAAAAACCTTACTGAAGGTTTAAAATTATAGAGATCGAATATTCATCAATTTATTTTACAATTTAAATTATAGGTATACGAGCTTTCGCTGCAAGCTTTAACAAACATCCATCTATCTAAACTTTCGCATTTATAATATTAGTAAGAAGTAAAAAGACAACAAAACTTTACGAAAGGTTCACTGTAATTACGTATAGTTTTGAATACATAAAAGTAATCTACCTCGTCAATAATGCGAGTCGTTAAGAACTAACACTAAGTGTCACATTTACAACCCGAGGTCAATGTCGGAATCGATCCTGTGACATACTACGTCGTGTTCTGACACATTATGACATAGATTCAGTATTACAGATATAATAATAATTAATTTACGAAAAAACCTACTTCCTGAAGTAAATTTTTATGATTTTTTACTTAAAACATCTAATTCATTAGGTCCATAATTGACTGATTTCAAAAACAAGAGACATTGGAAAGACTAGTTACTGAGTTAGAACAAATCGAATTATTTTTGTCTACTAGCTTTTGCCCACGACTCCGTCCGCTGGAAATTAAAAAAACAAAAGTAGCTTTTGTGTTCCAAATTATCCTTTACTTTTATGCTTAATTTCTTCGAGATCAGTTAAGCAGTTTAGGCTACATACTCTAACCAACATCCATCCATACAAACTGTCACATTTAAAATATTCAGTAGTAATTAAGATTTCATGTTAAGAAATTATAATTTAAAAGTAGTTGTTACATAAAAAAGGTGATGAGAAGGTTACAAGGCAAGTTATCCAGATGGTAAATTCCTATATCCGCAAGAGCCAACGCAAAGATACAATAAACAAATGTAACGGAAAACTAATGTAAATGTATTAGAAAGCTGTGAGTAAATATTATGAAGATTTCGCTCACACATCTGCAGCAGGAATGCAGCACGCAGTATTACAATGTTTATAAACACTCATTGATATACTCAACTAAAATACAACTGAAAACTAAAGGAAAAAAAATAATTTCAAAGAATGACAGAAAGAGAAAACTGAAACATTATATTTTGTCTCTTACGAGTAATATCGCATTTTATGCATAAAATAAATAACTCACAATTTATGTTTTTTGACTTTTTATCAAAAACGATTTTATTTTCGTGAGAATACAACTAACTCGCGTCACAATAGAATTAACATTTTTATATTAGTTAGTAGAGAGATAGTACATCTTCCTCTCTCATTTCAAATCTCCTGTAAACGTCAAACGCAAATTCCCAAAAACCATACATGTTCAGTTAATTATTTTTATGAATAAAGACGAGATATAACGTTCGTCTCTTTCACACATCCTCTTACATCTGCCATCTCTTTCTGATACTGTTACGCGATTTGTTAATTGCTTTAAAACATGTTTCACACTTGTTTTAGCAGTGGAAACACGCGGTTATACACACAAAACATTTCAAAGTCGTCAACTCGAAACATTTCCGGTATAGAAAGCGTTGCCACTGCGCTCGTAAACAATTAACTGGCAACTATTATTAGTAAAGCTTAGCAGAATGACCAGTATAACATGACCTTCTCATTTTACTATGAATATAGAAATGTCTAGGGAAAGAAATCAATTGTACTGTAACACGGGGGTCACTGATTTTTGAACATTTGTTAGAAGATATGTGATGAATGGAAGAGACATAAAAACACAGAAAATTATCTTTAATAATTTTTTTTTTTTTATAACATAAGGCGGCAAACGAGCAAGCGGCCACCTGAAACCGCCAAAATGGCGAAGCGACCGCTGCCCATAGACATTCGCAATTGCAAATGCGTTGCCTACCCTTATACGACGGAGGAGGAGACGCACATTAAGAGGATATTTCCCCTTCCTATGCATCTCCTCCACAGTCAAATCCACTTCCTCTTCCCAACCTCTCCTTATAAGAAAAGGGTGGTAAAGAGAAAGGGACTTAAATTAGGCCTCCGGCACCACACTCATCAGACGAAACACGGAATGTTTTTCATTTTATCGCCTATCTTTTGTGTGGTCGTGGTATTACTGGGGGCGTGCCGACCCATTCGTGCTAAGATGTTAAAGCGGGCACTACCACTGTTGACTTCTTTAATAAGATGTCGTTTAGATTATTTTTGTGTAAATTTGAAATTCGATCATGCTACTTAAATTTCAGATAATAAAAAAAAATAAGAATATCTTAAAGATGTGTTGTTTTCAGCTGACAATCTTGAGATAACGATTTTTTTAATTTAAAAAAGATCTTATTTCACTGCGTGTAAAAAACCAGGTAATCGAAATATTCTTAATTGATCTTAAAATAAAAGATATAAAGATTCACAAACAATTGAATTCTCATAATTTAAAACTGACTTGTTAATGTTCGAGATATTTTATATAATAAATTTAATTAACCGCAATTGTTTTATATATAAAAAATTAATGTGTAAAATGCATTAAAAACAAAATATTGTTTAATTTTTTCCTTAACCGAATTAAAATGAACAACTACGCTCTAGACACATCTAGTTAAAACATAATGAATTCACATCCGTGTTGCATAAACGATGAGGTCCGATATCGATAGAAAACTTAATATTTGGCATTGGTAACAATATTATAGTTATCAAAATGTATAAATCAGTACAAAATGTATGGATAAATCTAAACAATCCAACAGCTTAGAAATTTATTGTAACATTCCTTAAAAATGTATTTAATACTTAAAAAGAAACTTGCGCGATATTTTTTTATTTCATGTCAATAATTTAGATGTTTTCTTAGAAATACCTGGAAGTAAAGATACGAAACGACTTAATATAATGAGACTGACCTATGAGGGGGGTGGGGGTCAGCGTCTGCTCCCACGTCGCCTCGTCCTCCATCTTCCTGAAACTGCGCTCCACTGCAACAAACAATTATATTATAATACAATATAAAACCATAGATATCAATAAAAACGTTTACATTAAATACCCCTTTAGATTTATAATTGAAAAAAAAATGCTATTTCTAGATTGCAATCCAGAAAAGTGGGTACCAAACCGACTGATTCCCACCCTGATAGGGATTGAAATCTATACTATTATAATAAAACGTAAACACACACTTTGTTGCCAAGATGTCTGCAATTACAGCATACTTTTGTAAATTTATTTTTTTAATAAAAAGCCCTACACTTACGTCACGCTTTAGGCTATATATTTTCACGCCATTAAACTTGGAGGGTAAATATTTTGGATAAAAATGCCAATGTGGAAAAGAGATAATAAGTTGCTGCCAACATCAAGAAAGTAAGATTGCCAAGGATTGTCATGTCATGATATTTTGACATTTGCTATTGATAATTTGACACATGTAATAAAACAAACACAATAAAATAAAATTTCATAATTTCATGCGGATGAAGCCGCACGGGAACAGCTAGTCCTTAATATGGATTGCAATCCAGTGGAGTAGATCGTGCAATTGAGTTGTATCCCACGCTTCAAGTCCTATTAGGGATTCAATCCAGAAACGCAGGATCTCATAATTTGGCCGAGTCCCACCATAGGGATTGCAATCATTACAAAGGATTGCAATCCAACAAGATCAAAACCGCAATGGAGCTGAAATCCATCCTGCATTCCTTACTAGGGATTGCAATCCAGTGGGATTCCTATTACTGCATGCAACAGGGCTTCTTACATATAAACTGAATGACATATGAGAAATTATATTAAAGTTAGCAACTTACTGTTGAGAAAGTGCGAGGTGCCCGACGCCTTGCGGGACTTCTTATCGCCCGTGTCCTGACCTGTGGAATGTATTATTTATATTACTATTTTTACGTTTAGAACGTTTTACTAATAAACATTAACGTAATCAGATCAACTCGATAAAAAGTCCAGAATATAAAATATCACTGCACAGAGAACAAGAGATCTCAACATTAGACTGTTATAGAGTACAAGTCCAGAGTATAATTGGTAACAACAACCATCTAGAAGAATATAGGATTTTACATGGGGTCAACTAATATTGGTTTTAGCGCTACTGTCGCTCTAACCAAGATTTAGCCCAGGGCGTTCCTGTACAGCGGCCCTGGGCGATCGATCTTTTCCTATAATAATGTCGGATTTGTAATCAACATATTATTGGTGTTAAATACGATGTGTAGTGTAGTGTAATGTTGTGTTGTGTTGAGTTGTGTTGTCGTGTTGTGTTGTGTTGTGTTGAGTTGAGTTGTGTTGTGTTGTGTTGTGTTGTGTTGTGTTGTGTTGTGTTGTGTTGTGTTGTGTTGTGTTGTGTTGTATTGTATTGTGTTGTGTTGTGTTGTGTTGTGTTGTGTTGTGTTTTGTTAAACTCACCGGGCATATTATTATGATGTATGCGGTCCATAAAACGGGAGATTCTGTTGTGACTCTCTCCATCCAGCACACAGCCCTCCTCCACCGCCTTGCCGCACTCGCGGTGCACGCGCAAGTTGCAGTCTGCTCAAATACACCAGCACTGATCACACTACAGCAGTTATCAAACATCACGAAATCTCGGAACATTGTAAAGTTTATAAGAAAAACACAATCTCAAAATTACATCTATACTAATACAATAAAGAAAAAAACTTTGTTTTTTTGATTGTAATGAATAGGCTCAAAAACTACTGGGCCGATTTTAAAAATTCATTCACATAGGCCATATTTTTACATTTCTTTTTTATTTTTTTCAAATTTCACGTGGGAGGAATCGCGAGCCAAAGCATTTTTATTAAAGGAATATTACTTAATGGCTTACATGGGCTTATTTCAGAAAATATTAGCTAGATGCACATAATTATTTTTGTATTAAACAAGGCAGTTATCTAGCAAAGGGTATAGGCAGATGTAATGAAGGTGGTACTGACTGGCGCAGACGTAGGCCTGCGGCGCGAGGCCCCAGATGACGAGGTCGCAGTGGTGGCAGTGCGCCACCGACGTCAGCGCCTGCAGCTGCAGCTGGTGGCCGCGCACCACGTACTGCGCACCACACACGTACAGTCGCGGAAACCCACGGTGTTACACTTACGAAAACATTGTTTCTACCGATACAAACTCCGCTTGTACCACTAAATATTTCTTCCGACAGACATATAAAAACTATACTTTTGGTTATTGTTTAAACGACTGTAGCTTTCAAAATGGAACACCGATAAATTCCCTTATTGTATATACGCTCGAATATAATAACCTCACAGAAGACCAGTATAAAGTCGTATTTCATTCTATTGCGTTTCATTTAACTGTGAATTTACTCCGTTTATCTACTTCTTTCTCCACTTATCTTCCCTTCCCTATTATTTAACATGCACTAAAACAATAAATTCATATTTTCTTGACTAATAAAATTGAAAACACAAATGTAGACAATGCGACAGTATTGTTGGCTAGCGAGAGATGGCGAGATGTAAGATTGTGTGTCAGTAGTCGGCACTGACCGGCTGCGGGCGCTGCTTGGCGATGTGCTTGAGGCGCTGCTTGTACAACTTGTCGCGCAGCAGGAAGGACTCGCGCGCGCCCGCCGCCTGCCCCGCCGCCGCCACCGCCGCCGGCCTGCGCACGCCGCACACCGCACGTCACACCGACACACCGACACATCGATACAACGACACACAAGGAAATGACACCGTCTATTAGATGTTTGAAGCAATTAAATGCGGTAGACAAAATATTTAGAACAAGAGGGAAAAGAAAATATGTTGTTAGGCGTTTTATAACAGTCAAATTAAGTCAAAAGCTATAGTATACTAATAATGGAAAGATTTGTATTTTTGTATGTATTGAAATAACTCAAAAACTACTGAACCGATTTAAAAAATCTTAAACTCTTAAAAAACTACATTATCAGTCAGTAACATAGACTATACATTTTATTATTTTTAATTTTCACACGGACAAAATAGCGAGTAACAGCTTGTACAGAACACAATACAAACATTTTAGTAAATTTCCCTTTCTTCTTCTTAGGCGACTGCCACCATCTCTTTCTCACTTCTCTCGCCTCCTCTTCACTTATCTCTTTCAAATTCACCATCATATATAAAACACACACACACACTTGCAATGTAACTAACTAAGCACTAAGTATTAATTTTCTCACTTTAACCAATTCTTTCTTTTTACTACTATTTGTAATTACGAGCAGTCTGGTATTATCTATATTGCAATTTATAATTATTAACGTCTGTCCGTGTCCTGTATTCACACTATAGCGGTACAAACGAATATCCATTCGTTATTATCCTTATGCCGACAGATATCGTGCATTATTCATCAAAATGCGTCAAACGACTGAATTTACATCCACTTTAAAGTACTGTAAATCAACACAAAAAACTCAGTCAAAGAATTAAATTAGCTTCCCATTTCAGCACGCATTAAAATGTATGTCGAATTAACTGAACTGGGTATGAAATAAATGTCCTCGACTGTTGCGATATAAAACATAACAAAGTAACTCATAAAGCGACTGATATTATCCACAATGTATTTATTAATGGACAATATTTAGCGATATTGATAAGATATCAGGAATGTTATCAGGCACTCCTTTACGCACATACGATTCATTAACTATTATAGATTACGATGTAATCGTCTACCAAACATTTGAGTTTCCTTAAAATAAGATTTAATTAGAGATCTCGCTTATATAAATTAAAAATAAACAAAAGTAGCCTATGTGTTCTTTCACACTATCCTCTACATCTATACCAAATTCCATCCATATCCGTTCAGCAGTTTAGGCTACAAACTCTAACAAACATCCATCCAAACCTTCGCTTTTATATTGATATGAAGTATGATTAGTTGATTTTACGTAAACAAACTTACCGGTTAACGCATTGATTTAAAATATATTAAATAAACTAGTATCTGTCTTTTACTAGTACAAAAGTAGTGTTCGCTAATGCAAACGGTAAGAAGTTACATTATATGTAGGCGTCGCGACACCGACTGATATGAGCAGGTAAATGTCACACTATATGTGTACTTAATTGAATAACTTTGGTATTAAATTTAACTCAAATAACTAACATAAATATGTACAAACCAACATTATGTTATTAAAATAAAATAATAGAGATTGTTCAAGGAGTTTTTACACGTTTTTAGAGTCAAGCCATTAGAAAAGAAGAAGAAATTAAATAGTTCAAAATTAGAACACATCGTTGACGTCATCACTTTTTTATAGTCTTTTTCTATACATATTTTGTCATTACATAATGTCTCCGTTAAAATAGTTTTATTTCTAAATCTTTTACGATATACAGAGATTATATCAAAATTATATTAAAATGAGCAACAAATTTATGTTCTAATTTGCACTTTGTATTGTTTTAAATAAATATTCAATAGTATACTGTGATTGCTGACATCCTATGTGACTAAGTTGTGTGTTTACCCTATTTTATTAGTATACTAGCTGTTGCACGCGACTACGTCCGCAAGGGAAAAAAAACAAAAAATAGTAGTAGTAGAATTTGTTCTAGATTATCGTTTACGTTTTTGCCAAATGTCATAAAGATCGATACAGCAGTTTAGGCTACAAAAACTTTCGCATTTATAATATTAGTAGATATATATGCATGTGTGTATGTATGTATGTATCAGTAGCCGACCTGCAGTCCATGCTGCAGGCGGCGGCGGCGAGGGCGGCGAGCAGCGCGCGCTGCGCGGGGGGCGCGCCGGCGGCGGGGGGCGGCTGAGGGGGCGGCCCGCCTCCCCCAGCACCCGCCCCCGCCCCCTCGCTGCACACCGCGCGGATCACCTCGTACAGCAACCTCTCCACTACCACTTGCTCCTATACGAGAAACCGGATTGTACCGGATAGAACCGGTTCATGTAAAAAAGAACCAGTTTGATCCAGATTAAACCAATTTGGGAGGACAGGACAATTTCGTACGTTCTAAAATTAAGTTATAACAAGTACACTAATCGTTTACTTGTTATAACTTCATTTTAGAACTACAAACAATATGCAACCTTCTATTTTTAAGACATTTAATATAAAAGTGAGTAGACGAAATTGAAAATGTTACAGACCGTAAAAGTAAAATACCAGTTATTAAATTAACATGTTCACTACAGTTGGTATTTTCATACCAGTAAGCGAGCATTTATTTTAAGTGTTACAGTCCAACTGTACTGGTATTATAATAACGGAAAAAATATTTATTACCCTTTGGGCATTATACTATTATCCAAACTAGTGTGGTGCTCTATTGAGTTTGAATGGATACCCTGAATTATGCATTAACCTAATCGAGTTGTGTCTGAATAAGGGTTGTAACGGTAGCGTAAGCGGACGCAGAGTTATAATTTCTTGCCAAAGTTCCGCATTTACGGATGCGGAAGCGGAGTTCCGTTACAACCCTAGTGTGAATGTCGGTGTATGGGCAGTGCGGTCACCTGCGCGCGGTCGACGGCGCACTTGTCGAGCACGGCGTCGTCGGGCCCGT